GTAGTATGCTGGGAAGAATCAAGGCGCAACCTAAAGCCTATCAAATCAAGTCACTGGGTCGTGACGGCAACTCATTCACCACTCTCAAGGCTATCAATCAAATCGACCAGAGTCGCATTAGGTATGTTTTGCTATGTCTAGCAACATCCAAGAAATCTTACAAGCTTTAGAACCATATCACACCCATTGGCCAACATCGTGGCATGCAGATTGCAAGAGAAACTCACCTTTTGTAAAATATGCCATAGGCTCAGGTCAGCGAACCATTGTCGTGTTGAGGAACCGTCAGGCGAAACTCACATACTCAGTGTCCGAAACGGACCGGGCCGGTAATCTGAAAGCCCACGAAGCCCGGGATTTTTAATTAAATGCCCTGCGGCTTTACCAAAGCCCCCGGGTTGTATGGGCTTTCTTTGGGTTAGGTGTCAGACGAAGCTTTTTTTAGCGTAAGTAGTGCACAGGTGAAATGAGTGGTGTATTATTATATAGCCAACGTCATTTATCATGACTGAGATGACGGAGCCGTCGTCATGTATGACGCCCTTCATCATGGGAATTTGGAATGAGTGGTAATATTATCGCTACGGTGCAGAACTCGTACAGTGGCTATCGGCTTGCGCCTCGACCAATCAATTTGCTTGCGTCCAGCCAAGACATGGACACAAGCAAAATGATTGGCTCGCTTATTGGGATCACTTGAAATTGCCCCGATCACGACCACTCACTCAGCCCACTGGGGCTTGGAGGTGTTGCTGTAAATAGACATTTGTGGGTGCGGGCAGCCCTACCCTAGTGACTGCTTCTTGAGCTGGTCCAAGCTTCTACACACACACATATGAATTCTTCCCCGATTCTCTTCTTCTCTCTAATATAATCGAAGTCATCGCGTTGTAGTACAGTAGTTTCATAGCGATAACTTACACTCTACAATTGATAAACCCATCAGGATCATATTTGTCCGGGACCAGTGTGACGGTAAAATTGTAGGAAGATGGTGGGAAAACTAACTTTCTATTGAATTAAGACATCGGGTAGAAGTTACCACCTCAGCACCGCATGGTGAAGACTCAGATTGAAAAACTGGAAAGCGAAAACCGGGAGCTCAAGACAACGGTCAAAAAGCTTCTGGCTGAGGGGAAAAAAGCGGAAGAGGAGCGGAAGGCAGCGGCAGCCAGTCGGGTTGTCACACCACCCACCACTCCTTGGAAAGATATCGCGATTCGGCCGGCCCCAAAACCCCAACACGGGTGGTCACCCCATTGGCCCAACAAGTACTAAAACGAAATATGGCTAAACGGAAGGAAAATGACAAGGGTGGAAGGGATCAACACCGCGAGACCCGAAAGCCCAAAAAAGATCAAGGAGAGGGGGAATCTTGGAGAAGCAAGATGAACCCTAAAGAAAGAAAAGACGAAGCAGGGTGGCAAGAAGTCCGGAGACGGTGGAGACCGATTGGGCCCTGCACGAAAGTTAATGATAGTCGCGGCGTCACCACAGTGTGGGACACACCCGACGGAAGGTATGAGAGTTGGCACCCTCACAAGAGAGAGTCGCGAGAGCAGGGAGGGGACGGGGAGAGGAGGTAGAGGAGGGTGGAAGAATGTAGTTAAAAAGTTTCTTTTGTTTTGGCGGAAATGGGGAAGGAGATCAGGTGACACAACTTGGAAGCAGGAAAGGCTGGGGTGCTGAGGCCTTGTGCCCGGCCCCAATTGGAACTGCGGAAGTGTTAAGGATTAGGATAATTATGCCATGGCCGCAAGCGGCCGAATGCAATATGATTAAAACAAACAAACAAAACCGCATGATTTCAGGCAAAACTCACCGCTTATGATGAAGCCATAGAGTCCATGTTAGCTACCGCAGTCTACGCGAGGGACTAGGGAAACACTCATGACAAACGATTGGATACCGAAAATTACACATCACCGCCGCAACTCTGTATGTTGTTTTTCGAAAGTGGTTCCACCGTCGATGTTGCCATAAACGTAAAGTAGTCGGATCACTAGCGATCCGTGACTCTTATCCCCAAAGCCAACCATTGACTTACTATTGAAGACTTTGTAAATATAAGCACGTATTGATTATGATATCTACATTCTCTGCACCGCTGACATGCGTCAGGACTCGGAAAGGTGAGTAATGTATAGTAGCGGCGACTAGTGGGCTCGCTCTTCCCTCCAACACGCGCTTTAACATTCAGTCATATACAAACCATTGCAGAACCAAAACGGGCACCGAAAGAAAAACCGAAACGAAGTAGTAAACGAAGCATAAACAAGGTTGCCGCCTCGGAGGAGTGGAGGCCACCGCTGTGGCCGCCACTCCGTCTGGACTCTCCCGTTCTAGGCCGGACGCCCTTTACTGGGTGTAGAGTCGAAAAACAAAGAACTTAAAAAAAACACAATATATGCTATGGTGCGGGTGGGTGGGTTGATGCTGAAGCCGCTGCTTGCCCAACCTCTGCCACTCCGCTCCTCCTATATACTCCTTTCCTCGCTCCAAACTTCCTCCCCCTCTAGCTCCAACCCCAACAAACTTAAGCTCAAGATCAAGCTCGGGCTTTAGCTCAAACTCAAACTCAAGGTTTACCTTCGGCCGCCGCCACCCATTCGTCTGGCCCCGCCCACCCATTCGCTTCCACTAGCCCTCAGTCAAGCTGAACCATGTTTGTGTCAGTGTCCAATTCCTCGAAATTAGCCAGAACTCGGTGCTTCTACATCCAAGTTACGCTCATCGGCTCGGCTCTTGTAAAATTAGTCGTTTTCAGCAGATAATCCGCTTTTTTCGCGTTTTTCGTTGTGCAAAAAAACCCTAATCCTGATTTTTTTCACGTATGAGGGAACAAGCGTGTGAGGACCACATGGTACTCTGAAAAGATAGGATTTCCTCTGATGAGTATGGAAGAGAGGAGGAAGAAATTTGATTCATGAACCAGGAACTTATTTGACAATCCGTTTGGTCAAAGTATTCATCGTTGGTATGTTTTTTTCTCTCCAATTTATAGTGTAGACAGTAACCAGGTGGTTAAGAAATTCGAAGCCTGCGCAGCGGAGAGTATCGAGTGGGCCAGCAGACGAGAACTCCAGTTCGACACGGCAAAGACGGAAGCAGCACTCTTCACACGAAGGCGAGGCCATAAGAAGCACCTCCGGCCAAAACTCACAGCCAAAATCAAAGTAGGAAACAGCGTCGTTCGGTTTAACCAAGAAGCGATACGGTGGCTTGGAGTCTGGATGGATGCCCACCTGACGTTCAAAGAACATCACAACCGATGCCTGAAAAAGGCCAGGGCTGCAGAAGCGAGGCTCCGCACGCTCACAAGGATGCACGGAATCGTCCCAGAGTGGGTAAGAGCCGTCCAAATAGCCTGCGTCTAAGCTGTTGCACTATATGGAAGCGAGCTCTGGTGGGATCTAAAAGAAACCGGCAGACGAGAAGATCTTCAACTTCTTTTCAATCGGCAGGCCAGGTCCACCCTGGGCGCCCTGCCCATGACTCCACTGGGTGCACTAATGAGAGAGTCAGGGCTCATACCTGCAGCAGTAGCCCTGGACTCCAGGCAGCAACGATTCACAGCGAGGCTAGCAAATGCGTGCGAAGGGTCTAAGCTGAAGGAGATGCACGACTACCTTACGTCTGACGCACCAATATGCAGAGTGATCAAGAAAGAGCACGAACGAGATTGGGAAGCAGAAACCATGCGTTGGCCCAACCCTGACGAGGAACTGGCTGTCAAGACTGCCATACTGAGCGACGACATCGCGGCTAAGAGAGAGGCGATACGCTGGGCGAGAGAGAAAGAGGCCAAAGTAGGTGCGGGGATCTGGATGTGGTGGACGGACGGGTCGCGAACCGACGATGGAGAGTGGGAGCCGCAGCAGTATGCAAGCACAGAGACGGCTGGAAGTCCTTCCGCAGCCACCTCGGCATCGGACGAATGGAGGTCTACGATACGGAGCTGTGGGCAATCGGACTCGCACTCCGGGAGTCAGTCAAGAAGAGAGACATACTGCAGGCAAACGGAGTGATGAAGGTGACAGTCTTTAGTGACTTGCAGGCGGCTATTTGACGAACGGAGCACCTGGAGCCTGGGCCAGGGCAACCACAAGCCAGGTGGATCAATCGCAACGCGAGAACCCTCCGCAAAAGCGGGATCGAAACTGAGATCCACTGGGTTCCAGGACACACCGGCATCCCCGGGAATGAAGAGGTCGATCGCCAAGCGAACCTGGCCCGAAAAGGCCGAGGAGCAAACACGGTACGAGAACGAGTATACACCTCGGCTTCAAATAGAACCAGACGGATCTCCGAGGAAAGACCGGCTGCAAAAACACAGTGGGAGGCTGACAAGTGCCGCAAGCATTTCGGCTATACTTAGACTCAAGGGCAAGGCGGGTAGCAAGAGACCCATCCGGATGACGAGCGTGAAGTCGTTGGCTGCCAGGTTCTACCGACTGAAGTGCGGGCATGCACCCACTGAAACTTACCTGAAACGATTCGGTCACCGTGAGGACGACAAGTGCTGGTGATGCGGCGGTGGGGGCAGAACGGCCCAGACACGAAAACACCTCTTCCGCCACTGAAGCCGATGGAAAGACCAGCAGAAAACGCTCTGGAAAGCGATGGGCAAGGCTACGGGCTGGAAAGCAGGCAGGTGCCGACATGTTCAGGCCTCTGAGCTGTTTTCCATGGAAAAATGCGATCAAGCGGTGATGGACTTCCTGGAAGCTACGGACGTCGGGAAGTTCCCGCCCAAGCGAGTGGGGGAGTGAGGTTCTTCGGAGGTCTTTTTGGTTCGGTGGTGTCAGGAAGATCTAGAAAGCCGAGGAGCGAGGATGCGGCAGACCCGTGGGTGCGTTCAGGGGCTGGGCGTGTATCTGCTGCGAACTTAGCAGATTCTCGAAGGAAACAACGACTGCGGCGGGCATATAAGTTTCAAGACATATTCGTATATTGCATTGCAAGAACTCAAAACTTTCCTGTTAAGGAAAAAACTTATTTGGTCCCACCACGAATCGAACGTGGAGCCCTAGACTGCCAGCTGGCACAGACATAGAGTGTTAGCCATTACACCATGGCACCATTTTTATACAACATAGAGTTCAATGTGTACTCTGTTGACTCAGGATTTTGCCCGAAAGGCCTACGAGTTTCTAGAAGGCCAGGGAAGCTGCTAGAATAGACTGGAGAATAGTTGCTAATGATCTGAGTCGCCGAGTAGACTCATACATAATTAGTCACTCGCCACTTGGATAGCCACTGTTGTTGAAATAGTTGCTTAATTCTCTATACAATCTATGCAGAAATCTATGGTCTATATACGGCTTGACATACAGTCTGAAACTCTTGTGCTTACGCATCGTATGTAAGCCACGAACCTCATACAAGCCATGAACCTCATACAAGGTCGGAAACAGTAGATGAAACACATATATGCAACACTTCCCCCTCTTGCTACACTTCATAGAGCAAGAAACAAAAAACAAAGGTAAAACAAATCATACGTACGGTGATTCCCATAGCAGCCTCCTTAAAACCCTGGGAAATGTTCAGGGAAAGAGTACCACCGTAGCCTGAGGATGGCCATCCATAAAGAAACAAAAGAAATCCATCGCTTCCAACCTTAAATTGACCTCAAATCCACTAAAATCGTGGATTACCACAATCCCATGGCCTTGGTGAACTTTTCGTGTTTTTATGCCTTCATGATTCCGTGGCTTCGTGGCTTCGTTGCTTTGTATCTTCGTCCTTTTTCGTGCATTCGTGCGTTCGTTCGTTCGTGCCTTCGTGTTCGTGTATTTGATCTCATTCTTGCCGCTGTTAGTCTCTTGGTTCATGATGCTTTCTCTCTGTGATATGCTTTGTCCAAGGCTTTATGGTTTTAGTGACAAGGTGAGTGCTTGGTTGTCGTAGTAGATCGGTAGCGGAGCGGTGTTATCGTGGGCATCGCAATCGGTGCGGTCAGTGCCATTGATATCTCGGTTCAGAAAGAGGTAGTGATCGGTGCTCTCGCTGGCTCATTCGGAGTATGTATCTAACAAGGTGATCATCGTTTCTAGATTTGAGTGTAGATGGTATCGAAGGGCTCTGATTGCTTGGTGATCTTTTGATGCCTTCGTTTCTGATGCTTTCGTTTTCTGGATTCTTCTTCCCCCGATCCTCGGCGAAGACTTATTCGGTGCTCATTGGGGTTGATTTCGATGGTGAGAAAATGATGGGTGGGCCGAAGATCGTAATTTTAAACATGTTTGAGATGTTGATATCTGTGTATCATAGTCGCGGTGTATGCTTGAGGCCATAAAGTCTGGCGATCGTGAATGTGTAGATGCCTTCCGGCATTGCCATAATTATGTCTTTGTCATTGCTTGAGAAACGTGGTGCCTTCCGGCAGTGCCATATAATATCCTTGATTTAGGAACGTGGTGACTATAGAGTCTAAATGATTGATTTTATCCACATCTCTCAACTTAAGAGATGAGATATCGAAAGGTAGTTAGCTTGTCAATAGGAGCTTAAGTCTTACTGATGTTATTTTGTTCGTTGAATCGCACTGATCCCTCCAGATTGTGCTTTATCTTGTAGACTCACTTGGAGTTAATCGGCTTGTTGAGAAGGATGGGTGTACACTCCTCCTCCAATGCTCTCGTTGTGCGAATTTCATAGCTTCCGCATATGATTGCTGTAGATGCAAGTGCTGATGCCGTCGACGCATCCGCGGAGGCTTCGGCCTTGCCTTGACTTCTCGTGACTCGACTCATGGCCACTGGCGTTTGTAGCTGCGATTGTTTGACTTTGTCATGACCGCAGTTTTGCGATGCGCTGTCTGTGAATCTCGACGGAGACGTCGATTCTGTGTAATGGTTTGTCTGTTCGTGTAAGGAGTCTGTGCTTACAGGGAGACTTCGATACTGTGGATCATCGGCTCTGTATTTACTATTTCTCGACGGTGGCTGCCGTCGGCTGAAAGTGTCTGCTTCCTCGTGAGGAGTTGAGAGCGGAGAAGGTGTTATTGAGCAGGATCGATCGATGTGCTGTCTTCCTCCATGGCTCTTTTCCAGTGATCTCGTTGAGGGCTTTCCATAGCTTGACTACTTGTGACACGACTCGCTATCGGCGGAGCTAGAGATGCTGGCGGTACTTGGCTTGATTTCTTGATTGCGCCGAACGCCGGGCAGTCTGATCCTCTCGGCGGAGGCGCCGGCTGTGGGCGATGTTTTCTGCGTCTGCTGCCGAACGCTTGGCAGTCTAATCCTCACGGTGGAGGTGCCGGCTGTGGGCGATGTTTTCTGCTTCCTCGTCAGGAGCACGACTTGTATTTGTTCACAAACCTGAGTTTGCAGGGAGCCATCGACGCTGAAGAGCATCAGATATCTCATCAGTACAGCCATGAGCACCACTGCCGTGGCCTTCACCCGTTCCACTGGTATTATCTGCGATACGGCCATGGAGGAAGCCATCTCCACTCACTTCGTCATTCTCTGTTATGCATGCAGGGAGCCTTCAACGCTGAAGAGCGTCGGATATCTCATCAGTACGGCCATGAGCACCGCTTCCACAGCCTTCACCCGTTCCACTGGTATTATCTGCGATACGGCCATGGAGGAAGCCATCTCCATTGTCCAATTCTTCGACATATTCCGTTTCTTGAGGGAGCTCAAAGATGTGATTTTCGTTTCCTTGTCGGCATGAAATGTGCGTGTTTCGATCCTCGTCAAAGATGACTTCCGACTGTGCTTTGACATCATATAGGGCTTGGATTTCGGACTGAATTTGCCTCGGCGCTGTGATTCAGGAATGAGTCTGCTGACCTAGCATCCGAATCGTCGTAAGTGTTGTAGAGGGGCCTTGTATGATATCTTGTTTCCGTCATCATCGTGGGTAGGCTTGCCAAATGCATGCATTTCGTATGGCATTTCGTACGGTGCGTTGTACCCGTCGCGGTCGTCTCGCTTCACTAAGCCTTCGTTTGGAGATCTTTGATGGAGGTAGACTGCTGTGTTGACTGCTTCTCCCCAGAATGCGATGGGTGCTTGAGAGTCGATTATCGTTGCACGGGCTTTCTCTGTGATCGTCTTGATCTTCCGTTCAGCGACACCATTCTTATGGTGAGCATATGGAGGACATGGTTCGTATGTTATGCCGCGCGATGCGAGTACCAATCGGAATGTCTTGTTGTCGTATATGGAGTGATGACCATCGCATTTCGTATGTGTTGTAGAGGAGTTTTATGATATATTGTGTCCGTTTTTCATCAAGGGTGGCCTTGCAGCCCTTTGCCAAATGCGTTGAGCATATCGTATGGCGTCTCGTATGGCGCTTGGTAGCCATCGCGGTCATTGCGGTGTGTGGACTGATTCTCCCTTGATTCTGAGATAGTAAGAGACCCCCGAGTGGGCTTGATGAGTGCGTGTAAAGTAGTCGCCGCAGGTGCGGTCGTAGATTTGCTTGGAGGAACTTTGCTTGGAGGAACGGCAGTGATAAGTGCCCTGGCTTGGAGCGGGCCTCGTGAGCCAGATGCTGTGGAATGAGCACTTGCAAGTGCTCCATCTTTCAATCTCTTTCCTCTCATTCTCGTTCGCGTTCTTCCATTTTCTTTTTTCTCATTCTCTCTTCTCTCGTTCTCTTTTCTCTCATTCTCTTTTCTCTCATTCTCTTTCTCATTCTCTCTTTTTTCATTCTCTCTCTCTTTCCCTTTCTTGGGAGTCGATGACGATGCTAGTAATATTAGCGCCGCTGGCATGAGCGCGCGCTCCGAAATGTGGCAATGTATCCGGCCGATTGAATTTGGTTGATGGAGAGAGAGAGGGTGCTAGACGTAGGTATGTATAGGGCATCGACTGAGTAACCCTGTGGGATATCGACTGTGATAGTTTGTGGTTACTGTGTTATTGTATATCCGAGTTCGATGCGCATCGGAGATCGTAGTTTCATGATCGACTTGTCAAAGAAGTTCGCAATCACGGGCTGGCTTTCTTAACTTTAGTACACTGTTCTTGAACTCGTTTATAGTGAATGCAATTAGCTTTGAAGTGATCAGGGAGTCCGCATTGGTAATATGTTCGTTCATCATTTCCTCCCTTTCGAATTCTAGGTTTATCTTTTGAACTTCTGGAGGTGCTGGTTTCGCTCTGAGCACGCTTCGCTTTCTGCATTCGTCCGTTGTATGACTGTCTAATTTGCAGGAGGTATACCGGTATTTCGTATGTCGTCCGTCTCCTTATCCGTATCCGCCACGGCCATTGACACGGTGGTGACTGCTGTTTCCGCATCGTGTGTAGAGAGCCAATCCGATAGATGCATATCCGATTTCTTTAGTAGGTGTCGCCGACTTGACGTTCCATGACTATATGGGTCTTGGTAGATATGGTGACGGTGTGAGTTTCAATGTGACGGTTAGGGTTGTGGAGGCTCTCGTAGTTTGTGAGATATAAATAGAATAGTAGAGTAGAACTTTAAATGATAGCGACCGCCGGGCTCATAACCTGTTGAAATAGTTGCTTAATTCTCTATACAATCTATGCAGAAATCTGTGGTCTATATACGGCTTGACATACAGTCTGAAACTCTTGTGCTTACGCATCGTATGTAAGCCACGAACCTCATACAAGCCATGAACCTCATACAAGGTCGGAAACAGTAGATGAAACACATATATGCAACAACTGTGTTACTGTATGGGGAGAACCGTCTGTATACACTCAGGTACAGAGTGAAGAGAGTGAGAAGGAGAGAGACTCGAGATATATACAGGAGGCATCAGCCCCAGTTACAGCCAGCTGTATCAGACACTTGTACATATAAAACACACTGGTCGATTTGTAATGTATGTTCGCGATGGTTTCTCCGCGGAACCCCATAGTTAGAGAGAATAGAGAGACAGATTGGATCTTCTCCTTCAACCCTGAATATCGTCCCAACATACTCATGCCTCCGAAGTCGGATTGGTAACATGTCCGCTTAAAAGGAAGGAAAAAAGCACGTGACCAAATCCGACTTTGGAGGGACGAGTACCTGGCACCAGACGAGTCTGGGTTACGTTCTAGCCAAGGCTAGCATCAGTCTACCCCCAGCCCTGTTATTGG